TAGCTTCATGAATGACATTATCAAACTTAAGTTTTTCTGGAATGACAATTTTTTTAGGTTATTCCGAGGGGGTGAAAGGCAACATCCGACTGACTCTCGAAAGCACAGGTAGGGTGAGGGTTCAATAGAAGCCAGCTGGAATTGACAACCTTGGTTTCCTTATTTTTTAGTGTCAAATTAAGCAAACTATTTGATTAATTGGTGTTTCTAATGAATTATCATGTATTCTTAATCATATCATTATGTTCTTATAGCATATAATTAAAGATGGGTTTCCTTATTTTTTAGTTTCAAATTAAGCAAACTATTTGATTAATTGGTGTTTCTAATGAATTATCATGTATTCTTAATCATATCATTATGTTCTTATTGCATATAATTAAGAGTTTTAACCAATCTTAAATGTCCATGTAATTACAGCCTGGATAAACAAAAAAAAAGACTTTTTGACCTTTCTTGATGGTCACTCATTGGAATTCTGCTGGTAATTCTCTTCTAATTTAGCTAATTATGAATTAATTATGGACATGTGAGACAAACTGGTATTTTTGCAAGTCATTAGAACACCTCTACTTTCTATTCATATAAGTATTAGCATTTTCATTTTCATAAATAAAAATAAGGGAACCCATCTTAAGGTTTTTCAGGAATTACAAATTGAATTTAAATGCCAAAATAGCTTGATAACCTCTTCAAGAAAAATACAGAAATTAAAAGCAACAAAGAATGATTTAAAAGAAATATTCCTACCGAGTTTTTGATATAAGGGTTAATTCCCCAGGCCATTAATTCTGAAACGTGCCAACATTCATTCTGTAATACTGATACATGTAACGCTGTGTTTCCATACTACAAAATATAACGTACAAAAACACATCTTCACAGGCAACACTATGAGGTGTGCAATGAAGGAAATTTTGCCAGGACAGCGGATTAACCTAAAAAATCTTCAACATAGACAGCCTGTAATACTCTGGGGCCATGCAGTGTGCAATGACGGAAATTTTGCTTGGACAGCGGCATTAGCCTGCCCTTTTTTGATTTCCAACTGTCGAGGGATCTTTAACGTACACAGCCTGTAGCACACAGTAGCCTCAGTTTATTGTCCCATCTGTACGACTAGATGCTTTTTCCATGTCAGTCCCTCAGTCCTCTATGACAAGGGAAAAATGCCAGGATTGAACCCAAGACGTTCAGGTAAGCATCAAACTCAACTGAGAAATGTCTGCTCCCTAGGGTGTAGGAATAGGGTGGGGAAAGATACTGACCTTATTTCGTAGATTAACATCAAGCCCTGTAGACGATATACAGCTCCCTAGG